TGAAATTTGTACATTTTATATAGTCTTACGTTTAAATAGATTATTGATCAAAAGTAACGCATCACCACTTTTGGAAATACAGTAAATACAAAATTATAATGAATATATTGTTCCTTTTCTTGATTTCACATGTAAAATAACATATAAAATATTGCATTTTTTATTTTTTTATCAATTAAAAAGCATCAGATACAATGTATTGAGAACACCGCTTTTTTCCAAGTATTATTAAATATTTAATTCATTGAATTTTTTTAGAGGATGATTTGTCTTACTCGCCTGACGACGACTATAGTGACTCTGAAGAGTCTAATGCGCTAACAATTAAGCACAGCTTCCGTATTGTATCTAATTGACTTTGATCCAATAAGATTTCTTGGGGACGGTCAGACTAACTGTTTTACGTTTCATTCCAAATTAAGTTTTTCTCAAGGAAACATTGTCAAATCACAGTTTATTCTATTAAGTCATGGACTTGTCGTGAAGATGAAGACCCTTCTGAATATAATATCCACTGGAACGAACATGGCGATTAAAATATATCAGAGTTTAATCAAGGTTTCCTATGCCATTTTTATGAACCAATTTATATAACACATTTTTTCGTAATAAAGTATTTTAAACTTTCACAATCTAAATATGATTATTGAATTTCAAATTAATAACGAGCAAACTTCAGAGCCAATAACTATAAAATTTATTGATATTTTGGTTTAAAATTTCGATTTAAACAAATTTAATGGTCGGCCATGTTGATAGCACATGTGTTCAGTAATTTCATTTATACCTTTTGCTTCTTCTAAGTTACTATAGGCTTGCTTTTCCAATGGTATTCTTTCATCGAAACATTCTATTTGAAAAGCAGTTGTTAACGTATGGAATCGAATAAATACATTCAAAATAAAGAAGTATAATCAAACCTTTAAGTTAAATTATTTGTATATTGTTTGTAAAATCTACTCTGTCCAATTATATGCAATCCTGCTCACAGCCCTCATATATCGTTTGTTAATAATTCGATTTTTAACCATTTTCCACACCAAAATTGGTTTGAAAACTACCAGCCCATTTTATATTCACTGAGGAAATGGCCACTTCCCGCCGCCACATTCAAAATCCGAATGGTTTTGAAATTGATTTCTCGATTTACAAGTGCAGTCTGCCTCTTTTGATAATTACTCCAGTTTTCCACCCTTAAATGCATAAAAAAAAGTTCCACGTTGTTTGCAATTTTTAGAAATACCCGACGTGCATAACAATATAATCAAAGTTCATAGGAAATAGCATCCTTTACCAATTTCAGCACATTCAACTCAGAACACATGAAATGAAAGTGTAAAAGTTTTATTCTTAAATAATTTCGAATAAAAATACATTATAAAAAGTGCTTCCGCGATACTTGTATTTACAGTGGCGATCAAAAGTAATGCAACACAAAATTAAAAATTATTAAATCGCGTTATCTTTGCACAGACTTGAGAACATCAAATTATAGTTGATAGATTTAATTACGTATATGCAAATAACTTAAATATGATAAACTCAACGCGGATAATTAAATCAATTATATCACAATCGCAACATTTATTTAATTTTTAGTGTTGCATTATATTTGCTCGTTTTTAATATAAATTTGTATAATCCTTAATATAAAATAAAAACATATTTTTTTATTTTTTAACTATACCCAATATACTACCATCTAGTATAATCACCATGTGCTTTTATTATGTCACAAATTCTTTCTGGCATAGAACAAATTAAATTTGTGCAATAATTCACATCGATTTCCTCCCAAACTAGCTGTATTTTTTCCCATAAGTCTTCCATACCTGAAATTGATCCGGGAAGATATCAAAGATGACAATCTACTTCATTTCATAAATGTTCAATTGGATTTAGATTGGATGATTGTGCCAGCCAATCTAAAACAGTAATATTATTATTATCAAATCACTCTTTTGTCAAATTGGCTGTATATTTGGGATCATTGTCCTGTTGGAAAATGATCTCATTGATAGCTAACCCATATTCTTCAAAAGTATTCATAAGATCTTCTTCAAGAATTTGTCAATATAATATGTCATTCATGTTCTCATCAATCTTATAAAAGTTATCAATACTGTGACAGGTGAAACAACCTTATACCATTACTTTTCCACCACCAAATTTTACCATAGGTTTAATATGATGACTTTTTAATGACTTGTCTGTTCTTTTCCAATAATATTATTTTCTATTAGATCCAAAAACCTGAAATTTAGATTCATCAGACCAGATTATCTTTGACCAATCTTCATAGATTCAGCTTTTATTATTTTTTGCAAACTCAAGATAACATTATTGGTATTCAGGCTTTGGATATGATTTTTTTTGTTTTATTCTTACTACTAAACCATTTTTTTTAGTATATGATGAACAGTATGCTCTGAAATTTTGATATTTTCAGTTTTATGAAAATGATTTTGAATAATAATGGTGGTGAAATAGTTACAGAATGTAATAAGATGGACTATTATTCTTTTTAACCAGTTATTTAATAACTGTGAATGATTAAATTTACTTAAATCATTTAAAATATGTTGTTCACACCATTTTTTATTAATATGTGAGATGATAGAAGGACTAATTTTATGAGTTCTTACTATTTCTCTTATAGTATATCTATTTTGAAGTAAAATAATTATTTTAGCTCTTTCTTCAAGAGTTATATAATATTTTGATATTTATTTTTTATTATTAAAAAGCT